TACACAATACATAAATACCATTATATTTTATATCTGACGTATCAGGTGGGCATCATGAAATGAAAAATCTGAGTGGCTAATAAAAGTGGCAAATGCCTGACTCCCTGAGGTGCATAGGACTCCTCCTTGTTTTTGCTGAAACAGACTAACACAGAGACCTTTCTTAAACTGGTCGCTATATATGCTTCCATGCAACCCCCTGGGTCATGCTTCATTAGCTAATCGTTATAAAAGTGCAACACATATATTGCAAATAGCAATAGCTTCCTTCTAGAAACCCTGAGAGACTCAATTTGGTGAAACCTCACATTGTTCTCTCTCTTGCAATAAATTGCTTTGAGTTGTAGTGTGGGAAAGGCACTATATCAAAATAAATGGAAGCAAATAGATAACAGTCTTTCTTGGGGTAATTGAAATTACTTGGCATTTGACTTCGTGAGACACAACACCCCTGAGGCATTGTTTAACACCCCAAACGCCTGTTCCAAATGATACGCTTTGCTGATTATTGGCGACTAAACATTGCTCTGATTCTTAATAGATATTGCAATTGAAATGTCTTTAGTTTCTGTCTGTATGTTTTATGGTGCTACGAAACTTTATAGATATAATATGATTTTTATGTCAGGTTTCTTGCACCTTCCTCTTAATTAGCTGATATAAGCAGTTTCAAGACAGTATACTAGACTAGAGAGACCATGGCTCTGATCCAGAGATGCAGTTCCAACAGTCTGGGTAGATGTTGCATGTTTGTATAGCTATCTATGTCGTTTGGCATGAATGATCTGTAGGCTTGGCCAAATATAATTTTAAATTTGTTTTGTATAATTTTGACAATTTTGACAGATAATCATGATAATTTTAAACCTTTTTTAATTTTTACCCGTTTAAAAATGTCACTGTGGCCCAAAGTTAAGAGGATTAAACCTTCTTTCTTGATTTGATTGATTTACTTTTTCACAGTTGTGGGAATGTAAGGTGGGGGAAGAACAGAGAATGGGGTGGGGAGTTGTGAGCCAGTAATTATTTAATGGCAATACATGCTAAGATCCAAAAGCTTTACAACAATTAAATTGCAAATAGTCAGCATCACATATCAAAGTATTCAGAGTTAATATCCTTAAATCAAACTATAATAGGATCCGAGTAGCATTTTTCTCATTTTGCCTATCTGTACATTTCAATTACATGGGTGGAAAAATCTTGTCATCAATTTGTGTGTGCATGGTGAAATCAACATTTACTAATATTCAGTGATAAAAGTCTAATATTTTGAAGCCTAATGACATGTAAAATAAATCAGTATATGAAGCCTCTTGGAATTCCAGGGTGAGTTAAGACTCAGCTCTGAATTTCTTGGTTCTTTAGTGCTGTTAGAAATTGTACTTTTCTCTTTGAATAAAACATTTGTTATTTTAACATCTTTAATTTCTATCCTGTTATCTTTTCTGCACACATGAAGCTAGCTGTGCATTATTTAGAGATAAAGGGAAATTTTAAGATGTTCGAATTGTATCACTTAAATTTTGTACATTAGTGATAAGAATTATTACCAGCTCAGAAACTCAGTACTGAACAAAAGCTACAAACTAATTAAGTCATGATTAATATTCCAGTGTGTCAGTAATTGCAGTGCCAGTTCTTCTGATACAGATTTGTTTTAGGAAAATTGAATAAACAGAATGAATCAGGTCTGGAGAAAGACTGATATGTGGAAAGACTAAAGAATGGTGTTAAATGCTGAGAATTCTTGATTTATAGGCCTTACTACATAGAAATCAACTGCAGGGGGGTATAATTTAGTAATTAACAGGAAGCCAGGAATGATTTACGAGCAGCTGAACTTCACATAGAGCAGGAGCGGGGAACCTTTTTTGGGTCAGGGGCCACTGACACACAGGAAAACCAGTTGGGGGCCACACACAAGTGAAAAACCCTCACTTTGGCCCCTGACTGAGAAGGGAAAGACACCCCCACATTCCCCTCACACACCAGAGCCTAGGGGGGGCCCAGGCTAGTAGACTTTGTGTGCTCAAGCCCCGCAGGGGGTAGCAAGGGAGCTGGAGCAACAGCATGGGCTCCCCAATGCTGGTGGGGGGGGGGATCCTTGAGACTCGGGGACCAGACTTAGACAAGCAGGGGGCCGCATCAGGCCCCCGGGCCTGAGGTTCCCCACCCCTGACATAGAGTATTACCTAGCACCTTCTCCCTCCAACATGCTATACAAATCCCACGGGGTTTGAAAAGATTTACCAGCACTCTGTTCTGGAAGGCTCCGGCTGAATTTAAACCCTGTTCAAGAGTCCTGCGTTCTGATCCATCTCTGCTGGCGGACCTATAAAGTGTGTCACGTCCTCTCTTTGTGGCTCAGTTTTCCCCATCTGTAAAATGGGGTTCATGCTGTTGACCTGGTTTTGTGAGGCCTACTTAACTAATGATTACACATCAGCTGGATGCCTTTGGATGAAAGATTCTGCGGCAGCACCCAGGATTATTAATTTAAATGGAAACCAAGGCTTTACAAACACAGCTTGTTAGGATCAGTGGTACATTTCACCCTACTTCTACCCAGGCCTGCATAACATTGAATCCTGCCCTTATGCGTCTTTAAACATGATCAGGTTGTGCTGCATAATGGGACTGGTTATGCTTTGCCTGGCATAACCTCCCCATTCAATAGATGGGAGCACAATGCGGCATTATTGTCTGTGGCATCTTGCACACAAAGGGATCCCCAAAGCACTTTGCAGCGCTCAACGATATAGCTAGAGAATTAAATTATAGCAGCAGGGGGGAGTGAGATAGACTAGAGATGGTTTCCGAGGAGGTTTGAATAGAGCTGGAGAAGTGACGAGGCAAATGGCTATTGGGAACGGATGCTGCCCTGGGGCTTAATCCGGCACAGAGCCGAGGGCCTAGAGCCCTTACTGAAATCACTGGCAGCTGAGAGTGCTTGAAACTTCACAGGATGAAGCATCCCATGAGGTTGTAAATGTCAGTGACGCAGATCTGTGGAATCTGTTTAACTGGCTGATCTATAAAGCTCCATGAAAACTGTGGAAAAGCGGGCGAGGTTGAAATGTGAAGGTCACATCATAGACGCCCCATCGGTATTGCCACCTTCTCGCGGGCGCCATATGAGGAGAGATGAAAAAGACTGGGCCTTTTCAGCTTAGAAAAGAGGAGACTAAGGAGGGATATGATAGAGGTCTATACAATCATGACCGGTATAAAGACAGTGAATAAGGAAAAGTTATTTACTTATTTCCATAACATAAGAATTAGGGGTCACCAAATGAAATGAATAGGTAGCAGGTTTAAAACAAACACAAGGAAGTTTTTCTTTACACAGCACACAGTCAACCTGTGGAACTCCTTGCCACAGGATGTTGTGAAGACCAGGACATTAACAGGGTTTATTAACAGTGCTAGTCCCAGTTGAAGCATGGATAAGTAGCAGTGGAAAAGGGTGAGCTCAGAAGCTGGGTAAAGGTGGATCTTGAGATGGTTTTATCTGCGTCTTGGAAGGCAACACATAGTCAGTATCATAACACTCGGGATCTTGTCTCCCCTCTCTGGAGTTCCGTGGCAGGTTATTTTTAACGACTCAAGGAAGCAGGCCAGTGATAGCAGATAGCTCCTCAAGGGAATTCATGAACTGAAATGGCCCTGGGTACTCGAAGTGCCGATGGGACAGACCTTTTGCGGCGCGCTGCTGCAGATCTAGGACACGTGGCATTAGCTGCAAGCCGTTTGCTCCAAATGAATGTGATGCCTTTTGTCACTTTCTCACCACCCGGCAAATAATTAGGGCTGTGACTATGGGCTCGTTAGCTGATTCCTAGGGCGGAGATTAGTCGTGCTGACAGAAGCCTTTCCTGGCAGAAGCAGGTAGTTTTGCGGACTCTCTCTCTCTATCTTCTCCTGCATTTCTTAACCCCTGGTTTCCTGTTTTCTCTTTTTTCCCTCTGTGCATTTGTCTCCCCTTTTCCTTCATTTGCTTATTCTCCCCTCGTGCCTTTCCAACCTTCCTTTATTGTTTCTTCTTCACTCTGCTGTCTCCCTTCTCCTTTCTCTCTGTCCTTCTCCCACTCCTCAGGGCATGTCTGCACCAGGAAACCATTTTAAAATTACTTAAATCGACTGAATAACCCCCGATGTAACAAAATTGAATCAGCGTGTCCTCCCTACGGGGAAGCCTCGATTAATCCGAGGTAGGCTCCATTAATGTGGACGCACTATCTGCACTTAGAGCCCCAGGAAGCCCTGGGGAGGTAATAAGTTCGAATGACTCTGGGGAGTAGCTATTTTGAAATAGCGGCACCGGAGCGTCCGCACGACCGCTATTTCGAAATAGCTACAGGGCGTCCCAGCTATAAGTCACCCCGGGATACATCAATTCTGCATGAAAGTTGTTGACGCTTGTAGGAACTGATGCGTTATAAGCCCTCCCATTCCCTGCTCTTAAGGTGAGCAAAAAACCAAGCAAATCCAATTTGTGCAAATGGAAGGCCGCCGTCGGGAACAAAATTCCCTGCTTTCAGTTGTTTCGCTATAAGTCCAAGTTTCTTGGAACGTACCCTGGATTTATAGTGAGGACGGCCTGTATTTCGAAATTAGCATGATTCCTCAAGGAAAGCAGGCATACAGATTTCAAAATAAGTGGCCCATTTTGAAGTAAAGGGCTTGGGAGTGTGGACGCTCCACTTATACATTCGACCTGGGGTGTGTGTGATTATTTTGAAATAAAGCCCTAATATAAACCAGGGCTCAGTATCCTTCTGCTTTCTGCCTATTGGGTCCCGCGGGAGTAGTTTGCCTGTATACAGTAGGGATGGAACTGATTAACCAATTACCCAGTAAGCATCGCTCTTATTGGGTGATGATTACTGGGACATGGTTAACGGGAGCCCCCCGTCCACAGAATCCTGGTGAAGCAGTTAACCAGTTAAATGTAACGTTAACCGGTTAGCTGATTGGATGGGACATTACATCCCTAGGACACAGGAATTCCGAGGAGGGAAAGAACATGGCTGCTCACCAATTCACCAAACGCACGGGGTCCAAGCAAGCCGATTGAGCCTGGAGCGCCAGACCGTAGGAGGCCACGAAAGCAGCCAAGCACCTCACCTGGCAAATGTGAGGACCTCAGGTGGGTGCAACTGCCCTTGTGAAGAACCATTTGGAAAGGTTGGCTAAGGACAGATCCAAGCAAGAGGCCAAAGCAGACACAAAATAACAAACCCGCCGAAAAAGGCAAACCCTGGACAAAGGCATCATTTGCTACCGCAGGATGCTGTCTGGCTGGGCCTCGTGGAGTGGAAAAATTGGCCTTTCTCTAGGTGGCCATTTATTCCTTCATATGAAATATTCAGTTCTTCCAGCGTAGGGCAACCCAGGAATCAATCTCCAGAGATGTTACTTTCATGTCACTTTACTCCTGGGTGATGGACGTAAGGTAGATGGCCTGCTCCTGCCCTCCCTGGGGGGCCCATACAGCGTGTCTCCCATAAATTCCACAGAGACTAATTGATGCAAACACCACAGGGGAGGAGAAAAACTCCCCGGCTGCGTCTAGACTGGCAAGTTTTTCCGCAAAAGTGATTGCTTTTGCGCAAAAATTTGCCAGCTGTCTACACTGGCCGCTTGATTTTGCGCAAAAGCACTGACGGTCCAAAATCAGTGCTTCTGGCACAAATGCTTTGACATTCCTGTTTGGGCAAAAGCCCTTTTCTGGAAATGTTTTTGCGCAAGAGGGCCAGTGTAGACAGCTAAAAACTGTTTTGCACAAAACAGCCCCAATGGCGAAAATGGCGATCGGGGTTTTCTTGTGCAAAACCACATCTAGATTGGCACGGATGCTTTTCCGCAAAAAATGCTTTTGCAAAAAAGCGTCCGTGCCAATCTAGATGCTCTTTTCTGCAAATGCTTTTAATGGAAAAACTTTTCCGTTAAAAGCATTTGCGGAAAATCATGCCAGTCTAGAGGTAGCCCCTGAGTTGCAATGCAGGTGCCCTGCTTAGCCCCAGGAAGTAGTTTGGGTATTTGGAAACTTGTGCGTATCTGTAGCGCCCCGGTGGGATACAAATGTGTGGATCCGTATCCGAGCTGCATCCGCCAGGCTCAGCTCCTCATCCCACCTCTAATCCGTGCTCCAGATCTTACTTGCCTCCGCACAGCAAACCATCAACAGGGGAGGAGCGCAGATGAGCGAGGAAGGGGTAGGGTTGTGCAGGGGAGAGGCAGGCAGCAGGGACTGGGGGTGAGGGGCAGCAGGAACCCAGGGCCACGGCTCTGCAGGTCAGCGCTCACCAGGTGCGGGGGAAGGAGAGGCCAGGTAGGGTCCGTCCTGCAGGGAGATTTAGGATGGAGCTTGTTGCTTTCTTTCCCTGCTGACAATGCAGGGGCTTGTCTTGGTGCCCAGCTGGTGAGGGTGAAAATGGCGATCGGGGCTTTTTTGCGGAAAAGCGAGTCTAGATTGGCACAGACGCTTTTCTGTAAAAAGTGCTTTTGCGGAAAAGCGTCCGTGCCAATCTAGACGCTCTGTTCCGAAAATGCTTTTAACGGAAAACTTTTCCATTAAAAGCATTTCCGGAAAATCATGCGAGTCTAGACGTAGCCATGAAGTGGGGAATACTTTGTGAATTTCCAATGTGTGAATGGGAGACATGGAGGGTGTTACCTGCAACTTCTAGAGGAGCCACTGTTAAACAATCTTTTGTCCTTAAGTCTGAGCAGGAGTTGGTAGGGAGTGGCGTCAACTCCTGAACAAAAGAGATAGGAGAGGAGAGGCCTGGGTCTTTTGGCTGGGCTGCACCTGAAGGAAGGAGCCTGAGACCCCAGGGTGGGGAAGAAAGGCCTGGTTTGGAGTGGCAGCTGGAAAAGAGGTTTTAGGGTGAATTTGTTTGCACCGAGGTTTCAGTGGAGAACTAGCCAAGTGGTTTTGTTTCTTTTGATTTGTAACCTACTTTGCTCTGCCTTTCTCTTATTACTACTTAAATCCTACTGCTTCCACTTAATAAAACCATTTTTATTTTCTATCAAACCCAGTGTAATCGATTGTTATCCGGGGGAGGGGAGAGACCAGTGTGCACTTTCCTCCTTTCATTGCTAAAGGGGGCTTACCTAATTCTTTGGGGTCTGATCCCATCTGGGGAGTGCTCTCTCAGGAGGCTGGGCACTAAACTCTCCTTGGACCTGAAGAGGTTCAGTGTCTGTGCTGCTTCTCAGCGGGAGCAGGGACCTCAGCTCGGGGCCTTGGCTGGGGGAGACCAGCGGAGCAGGAAGACGAGAGGCAGTGGCCATGTCAGCACCCCGGGAGGCACCCCTGAGGGGTCGTCTGTGACCGCACCCCGTCACACCAGTGGTTTCTTTACAGTATTCAGCACATTAGCCCAGTGCCACAACCTCCTAATGTGAGGGAAGTAGGCGGGAGAGCGAGCTGCTTACTTCTGAGGCTGAACGCTGAGCCCCAGCCTGCTCCTAGTGGCGCTAAATCCAGAGCAACTTTCTTGTTGACACAGGAGTGAATCCAGATTGGTCTTGCTGTAGAAGAGATCAGTTACTAGCCTAATGGCTACCACTGGCCCTCTCTGAAGGGCTGTGTCTAGATTGCACCCCTTTTCCGTAAAAGGGATGCAAATTAGACACAGCGCAATTGCAAATGAAGCGGGGATTTAAATCTCCCCCGCTTCATTCGCATAAAAATGGCTGCCGCTTTTTTCCGGCTCGGGGCTTTGCCGGCAAAAAGCGCCAGTCTAGACACGGATCTTTCGGAAAATAAAGCCTTTTCTGAAAGATCCCTTATTCCTGGCGCTGGGTTTCCAGGGCAACAGAGTGTCTGTTGTGAGGCAGTTTTTCAGTGCTCTTAGATAATTGATGGTAGTACCTTCCATGGTGGGAAAGTAGTATCCTTCCCTCCTAAATAGAAGACATGGGACAGGAAGGGTCCTGTCCCTCCGATATATGTTATGTTGTAGAATGGTTTGCTTACATTGGGAAGAGACAATCGTTTGGTTCGGTTTGTACAGCACTGAGCACAAATGCACTGTGGTTCATGCAATATAAATAAGCATAATGATGATAACATCCTGTCAAGACTGTTGCTGCATCCATGATCACCCCAGGCGTTAGAAATTGAAAGGGCTGCATCTTCCCGGATTAGTGGGCTTTTGTGTCTTTGGTTTTCAGCTTTAAAAAAAAGAGAGAGAAATTAGGAAAGAGAATCATGAGGTGCCCTTCTAGACACAACGTTTCATGTCGGCTTTGAGCTGTGAAGTAGGAGCTCTGCCTGTTTCTTATATGGAGAGAAACACGGACACCCACGTGCACACCCACGCACCCCCACATGCTGGCCCAAGGTACGGGCTGACTGGACTATCCCCCCGGGGCGCCCCATTGTAGGGGGTGCCACGTGGGGCTGCTGGGCTGGGTGCCTGGGGGCAGGGCTGCTCATGTGCCGGGTGCCTGGGGGCGGGGCCGTTCATGTGCCGGGCGCCTGGGGGCAGGGCCGCTCATGTGCCGGGCGCCTGGGGGCGGTGTCATGCTCCCGGAGCCTGGGGTGCACAAATGGCTCAGGCTGGCCCTGCGTGCATACACTCTCCTCCCTGCCATGAGCACACACACACAGACACACACGCACCAATTCTGATTTAGGTTCCTCATGCTGAACAAGACGCCGGGGAACCTGAGCTGCTCCAGCTGAATGTGGGATCCGTTTCTGGAGGAGGAGCTCAGCGTTTAGTCCAGGAGATTGGACAGCAAAGCCAGTCACGTGGCTCTGCGAAGTAAAATGCTGGTTGCAGGTGCCTGCCCCGTCTTCGCCGTTTTGTAGCTTGACAAGTATCGCCCACGCCCGTGTTCCCAGCCAAGGGTCATTTCTCTTTGAAGCTGGTTGTGTCATTCCTGGCTCAGTTGCTTCTCTGCGCGGAAAAAGAGGGAGAAGCAAAGCTGAGATCTTAAAGCAGGGGGTGGGGGAACCTTTTTTTGCGCCAGGGCCATTGAGCCTCCGAGAAATCAGCCGAGGGCTGCACACAAGCCTCATTGAGACATGGCCCCTGACTGAGAAACAGAAAGACCCCCCCCCACCATGTTCCCCTCACACCTGGGCTAGTACATTTTGTGGGGGAAAAGCCTCCAGGCAGCACTTTACTGCATCAGCTGGGGGGGTGGGAGGGAGAATAGCAGTGCACGGAGCCACTTCCTCCCCACACCCCAGGCAGAGCCCATGGATTGGATCTGGATCTGGCTCGGTGCTCCTCCCCCCTCAGGGCGCTGCAGGGGGTGGTGGTGCTGGAGCACCAGAGTGCGCTCCCCAATAGTGGGAGGGGGAGCTCCAAGCCTCCGGGGCTGGATTCAGGCAAGTTAGAGAGGCTGGATCTGGTCCCTGGGCCGTAGGTTCCTCGTGATCTTAAAGCTTTTTGTCGTGGTTACTGGAGGCAGAATGTGGTAGAATGTTTTAGACAAGGATAAGCATAAGTCTGATCATATTGATTGGCGGTCACCTGACTTCAGTTCCACTCTTTTCTCTTCTGCCGGGTGTCCATAGGCAAGTCCTTGCCATTCTCTTGGCCTCGGTTTCCCCATCTGTAAAATAGAGATGTTTCTCTACCTCCCAAGGATGCTGTGAAGCTAAACTCTTTGATGCATATGAAGTGCCAGATTCCATGGAGCGAAGCATCCAACAAATGCAGGGAGATAAATATTCAAATGCCAGCACCCTCCTCTGAGCCACTCGATAACATTTCCCGATTTATTCCCCTCAGCTCCGCGTTAATCAAGCTGATGCACGCGCAGAAAGGGAGCTCACATCGACACTCGGATGAATGCATTTTGAACTCAGAACAAGGTCAGTCTCGCTCACTTTTCCTCTGGTCACAAAGAAAAACCATCGTAACGATGGCCCAGAGCGACGCAAAGAATTATTTAAAGTTTAACGCAAAGCTCCCGCAAGCTTCATGCTTATTTAAGAACACTTTTGCAGATTCATTTCAGGATCTTTACATGAGATGGCAAAATTCATGCACTTTGGCCAGGATAGGTAGTATACTTGTGTAGCAGGTTGCCGTAACACAGCCAGCCTTGGTAGCGATTACAGGTAGGGCTGGTCAAAATGTGGAGGGATTTTTTTTTCCCCATGAAGAAATGTCTTAAATCGATGAATTAAGCTTCATTTTGGTTAACATTTTTTACTTTTTTCTGGGGGTTTTTTTTGGATAAAAATGGAAACAAAATTTTTGTTTGGTTTCAAATATTTTCCTCCATTCCTTTTTAAAAACTTCCCTGCCATTTTTTTCCAATGGAAAAAAGAGGCAAAACATTTAAGTAACGTTTAAGAAATGTAAGCATTCCACATTTACAGTGTTACAAAGGGCCAGAAAGTGTGTTCCTCCTTCCCACTTTCTTCAACTTTTCAATTTTCTTCCATTTTTTTCCTGTGGAAAAACAAAAATAAGTGTGTCTGTGAGAGAGAGAATTTAGGTGCGGGAACGAGGGGTGTGTGTGTGTGTGTGCGTGTGCACTACAGCATCCCTGGGCTCCCCGCCTATCACCCACTGTCTCAGCTGCCTCCCTGTACATCAGGGACCCAGGGGCTCTCCTGCTGATTCCGCACCCTGGGTCCTGGCTGCTGCCCCGAATACCTGGTGCTTTGCTTTGTCCCCATGCACTGAGGGCTCTGTGGCCAGCTCCAGGCCATGGATCTTGACTGCTGGCCCCGCACATCAAGGCTTTTCTCCCAGTCTCAGCTGGCAGGGGAGTGCAGGAGTACAGAGGTAAGTGGGGGTTGTCAGCACCATCCCCTCTTAAGTATATTTCCACACCACTGGTTGTAATGGGAAAAAAAGAGAATTATGAAGTTCTCCCAAACTTTTAAATGAAAAATGCTGACTTTTTTTCAAGAAAATTAATTTCAATTTGGCTTTCAAAATAAAAAAAGTCCCAAACCATGAATGACTTTTAGAGGAAACCAAACCAGAAAGCTGTTGCATCCCTGTGACGGATAGGAGGAGTGCTGGCCTTTTCGGAACATCCCAGCATTCAGTACAAAAGGGTTAAACTTAGGTAGCTAGGGGGTGTTGGCAGGGAGCCAGGAGAGCCAATGGGAGAAGATGCTGAGATTTGAATGGGAAGACATACCTGACTGCTGTTCTTTGTGTGAGTTTTTAAGACAGGAGTTGGGGGAACAAAATGAACTGTACCAGGCAGAACTACCATGCCTTCAGAGAATACTGGGGGTGGAAATGGATGGGATGTTGAAGCACGGATCATGAGTAGATAGGGAAATGTCTGTTTAGACATGATCAGGTTATCATTTTTGTTTGGTTTAACTTCTCTGTGCTAAGCCCCCCATACATTGTAACTTAAAGCTGTATCCCAGAGATGGAATTTTTCTGTTTTTAAATTGTTCTTTTCTCAGTTGCTTTAAAACACCTAGCAACCAAGTATGTTTATCAAGTATATCTTTTTGTTTTGGTAAGAAATTCATCTTTTTTAAGGTGATAATTTGATTAGTGTGTCCTGGAAGGTAATAGATGGTCTGTGTATGCATGCCGAAGACTTGGAGGTCATCTATCAGAGATCGCCATTTGTTTTTCTCTTTTTTCTAAGCTCACTTGGAGGTATCCCTCTGGAGGAAGTCCAAGTGTTTTCTTCCTGGATTCAAGAAGAAAAGGGGATTTTTGTTTCACTTGGTGGTGGCAGCTACCTCCAAGGCCAGGGAATCTGTGACTTTGGGGAGCTTTTAAGCCAAAGCCTATAGAGGCAAGGTATTTTTAAGGTCTCTTGGGGGCTCCCACCTTCTGCACTCAGAAGAGCCATGACAACCCCAAACTAGCCCTCCTTGCTATATCTATATGAGTGAACACACTTCTTTGTTGGAGAGGAACCAGGAGGATAAGGGAAGAGAACCTATGCTTCCCTGGCAGGGGTTTTGTCAACGGATCTCAAGATGCACACTAATTCTTGTTAGAAGGCAATCATACATACTCTATCCCCAGGGAATTATTCTGCACAGCAAGTAGCCTCCAGAATTGGTTAGCATTCCTTGTCTGAGAGATCAGTATTGACTAAGAGCCATCATGAAATTGTCAGGTACAGTGAAAAGCAAGTACAAAGCAGTACAAAGGAGCCTAAAATAAAAAGGCAAAATGATGACAAATTGGTTTTATTCCTCCTGGATAGGAGAGTTAACTAGTGAAGAAAATTGAGTAATCAATAATGCTGCTGGAGGTACGGCGATTAAGGGCCAACACAGTAACAGAGAGGTCTTTATTTTCCATTGTGACAATCAGAGAAGATCTGTAAATTACAAAGGATGAAAAATGCCTCTTATATCCAAAATAAAGAGATAAGTAGGTGAAAAATACCCCTCCCCAGTCTCTTCCCTTTAAGACTTTCTATTTAAACAAGACGGTATAACTGTTGAAATTGGAATGGACACTTAAAATATCTCTGTTTGGAAAATGTTACATGTAACACCAAACCGCAATATCACTCAGAGAAATTAGCGAGAAAAAAGCTGTCTCTTTTTTTCCAGTTTATTCTCTTTCATAGCACTCTGTGTGAAGTTAGTTTCATTGTTTCCTGTCAAATTAGTCGGTTGGTTGCAAATGTTCTTTGTGGGGGTCTTTCACACAATAAACGGAGATGAGAAAGACCTTTTAAAAACAGAATGATGAGGTAGAAAATCCACAAAAGTTGGCAGAGGGACCGAGAATCAGGTGTCACGCCTGCAATTACTTGGAAGCTATTGTTTCAAATTGACTAGATTTCAAAAAGCTCATTTTTTTAACATCTTGATCATGACATCATCAGTGACAGTAAGGCCATGTCCAGACTCAGGGGTTTTTTCGGGAAAAGTAGCCTTTTCCCGAAAAAACTTCCCCTGCGTCCAGACTCAAGCCGCGTTCTTTCGAAATTATTTTGAAAGAACGCGGCTTTTCTTTCGATGGCGGTAAACCTCAATTTACGAGGAAGAACGCCTTCTTTCGAAAGTTCCTCTTTCGAAAGAAGGCGTTCTTCAATGTAAAGAGGCCGTCTTTGAAAGAGAGCATCCAGACTCGCTGGGTGCTCTCTTTCGAAAAAGCAGATTTCTCTTTCGAAAGATCCGCCTGCAGTCTAGATGCGATCTTTCAAAAGAGCCTCTTTCGAAAGAAGCCTGCAGTCTAGACATAGCCTAAAAGTTGTTCATTATTAATTCAAAGAACATGTACATTACATTGACCATGCAGATTTTCCAGCACTTCCCATTAAAAGAACTCAGGGCCACCCTTACCTGGATGCAGAATAGCCAGCTGCATACGGCACCTGAAAATGTGGGGCACTGCTGAGTCTTAATGTCCACCCACCTGACGCTTCGTATCCCTGTTCTAGGACTCTGCTTCATCCAAAAGCTAACTTACAAGACACAAAGCCTGCCAGAGCTATTAGCAGAACATTGAACCCGTGACAATGCCATTGAAGTGGTAATGAAGTCATTTAACAGGCATTTGCCAATCTCAGGTATATACCACCAGTTTCTGAATTTACTGTGTTAATCTACAGCAGTGGTCCCCAACGCGGTGCCCGTGGGTGTCATGGCGCCTGCCGGGGCATTTATGTGTGCCCACTGAAACATCTGGGCTGGCCCCTCCCCCGGTGTGTGGCACGTGCTTGGTGCCGTCCCCGAGCGTGTGGTGCATGGATGGCCCCTGCCCCGGGCGCGTGGCACGTGTGGTGCCGGCCCTGGGCTCAGGGCGAGTAGGTGGCCCCTACCCCCGGGTGCGCGGCGCATGCGTGGCCCCACCCCTGGAAGCGCGGCACGTGAGCAGCCCTGCCCCCGGATGCCCGGCATGTGAGCGGCCCCGCCCCTGGGCGCCTGGCAACCACAAAAGGTTGGGGACCACTGATCTACAGGACCTTAAAAAAAGAAGGGATCCTGTGGCACCTGAGACTACCTTCATTTAGCATTTGCTTTAAAACGTTTTTAGTGTGATGCTGAAGATTATAAATCACATCTCTAAAAATTGCCCCTCTCAAAGCTGCTGTGAGGCATAGAGGCACCGATTTAATAGTACAGTGTAGGGCCCCATAAATCTGAAGGACAGCCCTGAATATACTTGACTTTGAGAGGAACATCTTTAAATGGGAGAGGCTAATGCAGGGCAGGATTTTCCGAAGCCTTGAGCTCTCCAGTTACCCACATGCAGCCCTCCAACTGCGTGCCTACAGTAGCCTCGTTTCCCCAGGCGATTGCAATATGGGCATTTACAGTTTCCTTTTGAAAATCTGGCCTTCTGTCTCCATGCACGCTCCAGGCCTAGCCTCTCTACAGAGGCTGCCCCCATGGAAAACACCTACAGCGGTCACCTGCCGGGGAGAAAATAATCCAATGCCATCAACTCCTTTCCTGGGGGCTCTTGAACCGAGTAACCGAACGGCGGGAAGAATGAGCAGGACGCTTCAGGACACAGCGCGACTCTCCACTTTTATTGTCTGGTTGTTCTCGCGATGGCTGGAATTGAAGCAGAACTCACTTAAAAATCAAACCTACGTGATGAAAATCAGCGGGGCCTCAGTCCCAGCTGAATTGGTGAACATAAGAATCTGCTACGGTTAGGCCATACTGGGTCAGACCAAAGATGCATCCAGCCCAGTAACCTGTCTGCCCACAGTGGCCAATGCCAGGTGTCCCAGAGGGAGTGAATCGAACAGGTAATGATCAAGTGATTTCTCTCCTGCCATCCATCTCCACGCCTCTGACAAACAGAGGCTAGGGACACTATTCCTTACCCATCCTGGCTAATAGCCATTAATGGACTTAACCTCCATGAATTTATCTAGTTTTCTTTTCAACCCTATTATAGTCCT